ACTGAACCCTATCTGCTCTTTTACAACCTTGATACAGTTGAGAGAACTTCATTTAGTGTAAATAGTTTGTAAATTTTTCCCTAATTTGTATTGTATCGTATTGTAATTATTTTGAATGGTAATGGATTTTAAAGCTTGTTTCCAAAACCATATGTTTATCTATATGTATATTGTAATATTTGTAATTCTTGAATAAATATTGTTTAAAAATAAAAAAAAAAAAAGAAAAAAAAAAAACGTGTGCAGCTAGACTGTGTAGAACCGTACAGGCTGGTGGCCGACCTCTACTTTACCTTCAAATGGCCATGGCTCGGCTAATTTTGACCCTTGGGGTATAATTGCTTTTGTAAATGATAGTTAAACATGTCCTGTGTCTATTTCGGTCGAATAATTTTGAATTTTTTCAAATCGACAGTTTCATCTTTATTTAGCTGTAGCAAGCAGTTATTACGTGGTAGAAACTTGAAATTTCGCAGAAAACATCTTTAGATAAGTTTGCACATGCAGAGCATATTGTAACTTTACATTTCTGATAGTTCTCGAATGGCAGCCTCTAAATTCTACGACTCTACAGTTTTTACATTTTTGTAAAACAAACAACAAACAAAAAAAATAATAACAATCAACAGTTCCAATAGAGTAATTTATTATTTATCATTTATCATGTTTTTAAATATTTCTGTACTGGAAACTGGAAACTTCAAACTGAAATAAAGACACCATGGTAATTAAGATAATATAAATGAATGAAAAATTCTTAATAAAATCTCCATTCCAAGAATGATAATACATTCGGTTTAATAACTGTTGTTGTTGAAGATGAACGGTACCATATTCTGCAAACAGACCATCTTGTTTCTTTCAAACAAAGTATCTGAATATATAGACACAGCTTTATGGAACAACAATCACTGGTTAAAGTTTTACATTTCTGATAGTTCTCGAATGGCAGCCCCTAAATTCTACGACTCTACAGTTTTTACATTTTTGTAAAACAAACAACAAACGGGGATCCTCTAGAT